ATCAGTTCTCAATTACGCAGCATAATGGCAGTGGTAGAACAACCCAAATAAAATGAAACCAAGGCTGATACAAAAGGTAAATAAATTAAGCAGTAAGGATATATTTAGTGCGCTCACCTTTGAAAGGCTCGTAAGCGGATTCCTGTAGAGAACAGAGGCAGCTTTAAGCAGGCAGAATGGGGCTGGGTGCCAGCGGGATGAACGTTGCTCCATTCAGATGTAGTGCTGCGGCCAGGAATGACGGAGGAAGGCAAGGCCTGGTGAATCCACGCCACGGGTAATCCATCCAGGTATCATTGAGACTTGCCTGAAAAAAAAAAAAAAAATCATTGAATACATTATTTCTTGAAGGAAATAGGCTGCTTATCCTAATCAAAAAGTGGAAATAGTCATTCAGTCAATGCTCCGTGGCATTTTAAGTGAGGGAATTGTTGCTGAGAGAAGGGGGAGATTTTTCTCTTTTGGCAAAGAGGAAAAATGCAGTTTTATGAGAGGTACAAATTCTTGTTTGGCTGTAATAAACAAATTTTGCCCAGGGCCAAGGAGGCAAAGCTAAGCTAAACTTTTTCCTCCCCATCTCTAGCCATATCACTCTGCAGCTGCACAATTCTCCAGGGATAAGCTCATGGACACACTAACTAGCTCTCAAACAAAAAGCTTCATTCTTTGTTTTTGGCAGTGAACGCAGTGAGAAGCAGCAAGGCAGGCACACAGGTTGTGCTGAATCCTTTGGGATGATCTCTCCCATGAACCTCCTGGGGGTAGGACCGGAGTAGCAGCCTTGCTTGCTTGTCACTGTGAGGTACCTTTCCCAGCTGTGTTGCAAAGAGTAACTGCAGTCAAAAGGTCTTGTTTATTCTGAGAAAATAAGAGTGAGTAACCAAAATATCAGTCTGCTTGTTTTGGGCTCCAGGGTCTTGCATTCAGATACCTAGATACAGTGGGATTGAGTGCCTTGGCAGATCACACAGGTAGTTCAGACACAAACAAGTAAAGACCTACACAACCAAATGAAGGTGGTAAAATACACTATCAGACATGCATACAGCTAGTATGGATCTAGTATAAAATGAGATCAGAGAAAGCGGCCTGAGCAGCAGTAACTCCACCTCAAATTTCCTGTGTCCAGGCACAGTTATCAAGAGAGTTGCAGTAAATGAACTTACTAGCTGCCAGTGTCCTAATCTTCATGGTACTGTGTTTGAAATTGGGAAGAAACCTGAAGCTATGCATGAGTATGGTTTTAGTGGCACTGATTTCTATAAACATTACAGAATATGAACATGTATACCGATACTGTTGACTTTAGCCACATACAAGGTCTAGTAACAGTGAATGCTTTAATGTTGTTGGCTTTGCTCATTCCACCTTGACAAATTATGGATGATATGTTTAATTTCCCATTACTGAACCTGACTACTCCTTAGATTATGGGAGGACTTTTATTTTCTTTTGCTGATGGAGAACTGAGGTACATTGTAGGGCTGTGCTCAAACTATATAGAAAGGTATGGCAGAGCAGGTAACTGAAATGAGCTTTAGCTTGAACCCTGTCTCAGTTCTTTCATGCATTTCTTCAACCCTTCCTAAATCTTTGTCATGTATCAAATTCATTCAGTTTTCCTTCAAGAGAGTAAAGGCTCTCTTGATGCCTTGAGGTCTGAAAGATCTAGCCTTTCTTCCTTGCTTTATGAAGGTCTGCAGCAAAATAAAAAGATAGTGTTGTCTGAGATTATGCTGCAGATACCCATCTTTCATGAAAGACGCAAATAGTGGGGTTTTTTATGTCTGAGAGAAATAAACACAGGGATGAATTGTTTAGGCCAAAAAAGAGAGAAGTGGTATCAACAAGAAAAAGCAGGGGTTATGCTTTCCTTCTCTGTTGAGTGCTGCTCTACTATGACTGTCAAGTTCAGAAGCAGTACTTGTACCCTGCAGGGACAGACTGCTTCTGAAGACAGCAGTGGCAAAAACTATCTTTTTACGTTTTTATTTAGTCAAAAGATTGTCTTTATGGTTGCACTAGGTAGTTATCAGTACCTCTTGACTGAAGCTCTCAAACACACAATCTGAAGTAGTTCTGTTCAGTTTGGTACACAGTCTGCCTTATAGGCAAGGGAGGCACATAGTAAATATGAAATACCATCACACAGTAGTGTTCCATGGGTTTCCTACTCAGCTTCCGATGCACTTCAAAGCTCCGTAGCTGCCTGGTCTCCAGCTGTCTTACAAACAACCTCTTCACCCATGAAGCACAGTGTGGGTAGGGGCAGTTTTTTCACAGGAACCCAGAATACATTGTGTTCCCAACGTAGGTTCTTGCCTGATTTTACCTCCAGGGAACAGGAAGAGCCTGAGCTGGACTGTCCTTAGAGCTGTTTGCAAACTGTTCTCAGAAACAATGGCTGATGATTCATCTGGCATTGTCATCAACAATCCCCAGGCCTGCCTTTTAACAAACCTTCCCAAAATAAAGAAAGGAGACCATTCAAGACAGAATCATGTATGTTTCAGTGGTGGATCTACAGAAGAGTAATCTAGTCTTAAGAGTGCTTGTAATCAAGTGATTACATATGCTTGCCTGAGGTCAGACAGTGAGCTAGTTTAGCAGCTCTGGGGACCCTTGTTCCTATGTTGCACTCACATGACATGAGCACTTTGACTCATCCATGTGTGGGGATATATAAATGCCTGTTTATAACATGTTTTTGCAAGTTTTAGTAGTAAAGCCAGATCTGTGAGGTTGCAAACCTTTCTATGGCAACAGAACACTGTCATCACCAACATTTTGACTTAGTATTTGTTATAGTTTGAAAAAAACCCACCTCAATTCCTTTTTTTGTTTATGCTAGTAATGCAGAAGGTCACTGGTTTAATGTGCATAACCTTTTAAAGTTATTTCTTTGAGTAAACATTTGCTGGAAGATATCCTGTCTGGATGATATCTTTTGCAAATGCCTGATATTAGGCTACTCAAACAAACTGTTCTTTGGTGAGCCCAAGAGAAGACATGGGGTGGCCTTTCTAGAGGTATGTATCCTATTATTATGACAGCCCAAGTGATATTACAATATCTGAAAATGAAAGACTCTAGAGTAGGGAAGATTAATGGTGTTTACTTTCTGCAGTTGCTAGCAGTGAAAGGATAGTGATGACTGATGAAGACTAAGATATATTGAAGAAGGAAGCTTGTACTACTTATCAAAAAGGTGAGATGACAGAGGTTAGATGCAATGCTAGCATCTCTGGGAATGAAATGTTACTTGGTGAGGAGAGCCTACGTAAGTACATAGGGAAGACATCCACTCAAAAACAAAATTATGGATGTCTGCAACAGGAAATACATTAAATATACACCTAAGGAAGTTAGAACCATGCTAAAACCAAACCAAACCAAATCAAATGTGTCTACTGGGCAAAAAAAAAAAAAAAAAAAAAAAAAATCATGTGGAAAGAGGACTAAATATTGGACTAAAAAGGTGAAACAAAGAGAAGTGCAAATGAGCAAAGCAAATCTTCAACATGGGGCTGCAGGTGATGCTTGTGGTTGTTAAAGCACACATGGCTCTGCCAGAGGAAACTTCTTTCTTTCTTTCTTTTTTTTTTTTTTTTTTTAAATAAGCTTTTAACCAAAAGTTAGTTATCCTTATGTAATATAATCATAGGGCAATATTAAACTCCTTGAAGCTCAGCTGATTAACAGCATTTAAGGCTGTAGCACATTATTTTTAAGCAGGAAACTTTAGCTTAAAGCCCCCAAATCCTTCAAAACCATTTTTTCCTCTCTTTCTTATCTTCTTCTCTTACTCATCAGTAGATGAAGACAGTGCTGTGTGTTTACTTATGTTTCCTTAAATACCAAGAATACAACAAAAGTTATTTAAACACTATACATGTTGTACTTCATGGAGGTGAGAGGAAAATGTACACAAATGTGCCCTTTCTTGGGATGCATCAGCTCACACACCTTCCTGGAAAAGACAAAAGGGCAAAGGAAAAAAAAAAAAACAACCATGAGAAAAAGAAAACATTGGAAACAAAAACCTATGTTGCTGTGTCACCTTCCATGTCATATGAAAATACTTTTTCCAAAATTTGAAAGCATTTCTTAAGAGCAGTCAGAAGAATATTCTTTTTTTTTTTCCTTTTTCCTTTTCAAAGAAAAGAAAAGTTCCACCCTTGCTGTCTGTCTCTCTTTTTTTCTCTCCTCTCTCTTAAAAAAAAAAAAGAAAAAAGAAAAAAGAAAAAAGTTTTGAGAATTTCATTTTTCTATTCACTGCAGTCCTGGCCAAAGTAAAGCCCTCTTTTACATTGACGTCAAGATCTTTACTAAGATTAGGGTTTCATTTCTCTATTGCAGCAATTAGCTAGGGAATGTATAAAAGGCTTCAGGGAAGCGAGCTAGGACTCCAGAGGGGAAAGCACTTTGCACCATAGGCAGATAGCAAGAGAGGGCGAGAGGAGGAAGGCAGGAACAGGGGCGGGGGAGAGGCGGGGGGGGGGGGGG